AAGAAAAATCTAAATCAAATCAATATTTGGTGTGACTACCCTTTGGCTTCAAACCAGCATTTTTTCACACTTGCCTAAAACTTTTGCACAGTACTGTAAGTGTAAGGACTTAATTTTTTTTTCCTTTTGGAATAAACACCAAAAGGGAGATTAGAACTTTGATTTTGGAAAGTTACAAACAGACTAAGGATCCAGATGTATTTGAAATAAGATTTTGGAATTTATTATAAGAATCCATCCTGTGGGAAAATGCTTTTGTTTTGAATTTGGGTCCCAGGAGGTGGGCCTTCTCTGCCATGGCTCCCTCCTTGTGGAACGTTCTCCCCGGTTGAAGTTAGGCTCACCCCTTCCCTGCTGTTGTTTAGGAAGTCCCTCAAGACCTGGTTGTGTCATCAGGCCTGGGAGTCTTTGGGAACTGAAGACATTCTTAGATGGCTCCACTGTAATTGATATTCTGCTCTCTTCGTGGGGTTTGTATATTTTAAATTTTTTGATAATATTTTCATTTTAATAATTACTTTTTATCTTTTTATAATGATTTTTTTAATCTATTTATTGTTTCATTTAATTGTTGTATGCCACCCAGAGTTGCTTTGTGTGAGATGGGTGGGTATATAAATGTGACAAATAAATAAATAAAATAAAAATTTAAATCTTTAAAAAAACATGATAGGATGAGACTTTGAAGGTTGGACACTAGAGGGAACCAGAAGGAACTAAAGATTACAACTAAAGGAGAACACTTAAATTTGACTTACTAATACAGAATGGAGCAAAATATTTTAATATTGGACATATTGAAGGATATTTTTGAACAGTGGACCCAGAAGTTACTTTTAAGTGTGTCTGCCTGTATAGATAAACTGTGTTTCAAAGATGTTACGAAAGAGGAACAAGTTTTACCTGACAAGATTGAGACTGATCTGAAAGCAGATTTAAAAATGACAAGGTACAAGAATAATATGGAAAGAGATGCTATACTGGACATACAAAAGAAACTGGCTGATGTCTTAATAATTAAAAGGATATACAAATAACAAAGAGAGTGACCTGGATAACTTTCTTATATTGGATTTACCAAAGAGACTTGATAAGTTTTGAAGAATTTTGTGAGAAGAGAAGAAAAAGTGAAACAAAATCAAGTTCTATGACATTATTTGAAGGGATTAAAGATCAAGATTGTTAAAAGTAAAAGGATGGAATGTAAAGTTGCTTTATTTGATCAAGCTTAAAATAGGTATGTCATCTCTGGTAACCCTTAATGGACTTTTGCTGATCAGGACTGAACAACAAGGCTTTAAGGATTTGTTTATAGATAAAAGATGGGATACGGAAAGAAGAGATCATTTGTTGTATTTTAAGAGAAGGTGATAAGTTACTAAAATTGTTGATACTTGTTGTGATGAAGGGGGAAGTCATTTCTTTATACGTTTATTTTCTTTTTCTTTACTATATTCTTTTCTTTTTCTTTTCTATTTTTTCTTCTCTGCATTTTCTATTTTTTTCTTTTTTTTCTTTTTTTTTAGTATTAGTTTTTATCTTTGTAATTGTGATTTTTAAATAA